TCTCTCTGATAACCAGATGAGGACCCTGCATGGCTTGACCTATCCTCTTTACTTCTTTTTTTTTTTTTTTTTTTTTTTTTTTTTTTTTTTTTTATTTATCACTCTTTGCTTTTTTGGAGACGGAGTCTCTTTTTTTTTTTTTTTTGAGACGGAGTCTCGCTCTGTCACCCCGGCTAGAGTGCAGTGGCCAGATCTCGGCTCACTACAAGCTCCGCCTCCCGGGTTCACGCTATTCTCTTGCCTCAGCCTCCCGAGTAGCTGGGACTACAGGTGCCCGTCACCTCACCCGGCTAGTGTTTTGTATTTTTTAGTAGAGACGGGGTTTCACCGTGTTAGCCAGGATGGTCTCAATCTCCTGACCTCGTGATCCGCCCGTCTCGACCTCCCAAAGTGCTGGGATTATAGGCTTGAGCCACCGCGCCCGGCCCTCTTTACTTCCTTTTAAGCAGTACTGAGGTGGTTTACTTTAAACAATTTGTTGTTGTTGTTGTTGTTGGTGGTGGTGGTGGTTGGAGACATGGCCTCACTCTGTTGCCTGGGCTGGAATTAAGTGGTGCAGTCACAGCACACCGCAGCCTCCACCTCCTGGGTTCAAGTGGTCTTCCTGCCTCACCCCCCGAATAGCTGCCACTACAGGCATGCGCCACCATGCCCAGCTGTAGTTTGCCTTTGAAATCTTTCAGTCTTTCTGCCTCTCTCTTTCTCTACCTCCCCTTCCCTGTCCATTTTTCCTTTCTCTCCTCTTTCTTCTTTTATTTCTGCCTCCATCATCCTTCTTTTCCACGTTGCTCTAGAATAAGCTGGTCCACCAGTAGATGACACAGGGGAAGCCAGGGACTCTGGGTGTCCAACTGGTCGTCTCAGCGCACACCCCTGATTCTTGAGACACATCCAGGGCCTGGCCCTCCCAAGTGTCCTCAGCCTTTAGTGGATGGGTCTGAAGTTTCTGTCTGTCTTCATCTCCCTAGAGCACAATTTCTTCTACTCATTTGTCCTTAATGCCCCCCAAATATGTTTCCTTCATTCAGATAATAAACAGCCCCAGCTTTTAGGATCAGTGTCCACAGGGCAAGGGCACAGGGGTTTTGCCCCCATCTCCAAATCCATCCTCCTCCTCTCTCCTCCGTCCACCCTTTCTCTACCCCTCTCTCTCCCCCTTTCCCTTCTTCTCGCCCCTCCTTCTCTCCTCCTCACCTGCCTTCCTCCTTCTCCTCCCTCTCCTTTCCTTCCTTCACCTCCTCTTTCACTTCTTCTCTTCCTCTCCATCTTCTTCCTCCTCCTCCTCTTCCTCTCCTTTCTCCCGAAGGTGCCTAACTGGCACAAAAGGCCTCTGTGTTTCCAGGCCTGGGCTCATGATGTTTTTAATTCCAAGGGAACCAGCAGAGGCCACAGTCCTATCTGTGGCCTCTCTGTGCACAGTACATGAGGCAGCATTTGCTCACAGGCTGGCTGTGAGGAGCCTGTGGTCAAAACACCTGCACAGGGGCAGAGCGCAAAGGCCATGTGTGCTGTTTCTGCCAAGCTGGTGTCCCAGAATGTCCTCCTTTAGGGGCTACTTGGACTCACCATTGAGGAGTTCACTTGTTCATTTGTCAGGGACCAGTGATGTGTGTGCACCTCCTGTCCCTGTGATGGCTCCTGAGAATGGCGCAGGCTCCTCCAGCCCGAGCCCAGCCCAAGGCCCCCTGCCTCACTCCCATCCATCTGTTCGTGAAGAACGGCCACTTTCTGGACCAGCCCTAGAACTGGCTCACCCACCTCCTTCACCTTCCTCCCTCCTGGCCGTTAGCCAGGAAGGAGTCATTTTTCTCTCTCACTTTAGAGTATGCAATTTTTTTTTCTATAAAAGTGGCTGGCACGGGAGGACGTTATGCTATGAAACAAGCCAGGCACCGAAGGCAAATCCTGCATGGCTTCATGCATATGTGGAATCTGAGAAAGTTGACTGCGTAGAAATAGACGGCAAAACAGTGGTGACCAGAGGTGGGGCAGGTGAGGGGCGGGGTGAGGGGAGATGCTGATGAAACGGTGCGAAGTTTACTGCAAGAGGAAGTTTTACTGATGTATTTCGATGTGTGGGGACCACAGTTAATAAGAATGCATTGTATACTTCAAAATTGCTAAAAATAGATTTTTTACACTCTCAACACAAAAATATGATAACTTGGTGAGGTGATGGATATGTTAATTAGCTTGATTGAATTTTTCTACAATGTATACATAGATCAAAATATCACAAAAACACAAATAGAAAAAATGTCAATGTCACTTTCTTTTAAATAAAATTTGCAAAATTCAAAAGTATAAATAATGAAATAAAGTCTCCTGTTATTCTATTATACAGATCCAAACATTGTTACTGTTTTAGTGTATTTCTTTATTTTTAAATACCTAGCTAGATAAATAATTTTACAAAATTGGTATCACCAAAATATATAATTTTGGATCTTACTTTTTATCACATGACCTTGTTTAACAATGAAAATTTTCCTTAAATTTTTTTTTTTTTTTTTTTTTTTTTGTGAAAACACAATTCTAATGGGTTCGCAGAGATTCCACCATATTTCTAAAAAATATGGCACTATTTTTGGACATGCAGGCGGTTTTCAGTTTTCACCACTGTTAATCTCAGTCAGCAAGTATTTGCTGTCTCTTCCGTGTCAGGCACTGGAGACAGCAGTGAGGATGATGGGGTTTGATGAGATCCCATCCCCAGGGGAGTCCAGACAGGCAATAGAAAGGAAATGCATCAAACCTATCATCTCAGGCTGCGATCAGCGTTGTGAGGAAAATTGAGATGGAATTAGGGACTAGAGGGTGATGGAAACAGGAGCAAAAGAAGAAGTCATTTTCATCCAGGGCCAGGAACGTCCTTCCAGAGCAGGCGAAATCTGGTTAAATCTAGGTGTGGATTGTTGCAGGCAAGTGCAACTTGACCTGAGACAGGAATGAACTTGGCCACTGGAGGACAGTGGTGGGGCAGTGTGGTTGGTTTAGAGAGAGCCAGAGAGAGCAGAGAGCAGGAGTCTAGGAAAGTGAGCAGAGACCACACAATCAAGGTCTTGAGGGCCAAGGTAAAGAATTCAGAGTTTATTCTAAGTGTGAAGGAAACTTCAGAGTCACAGGTTTTTAAGCAGCTCACTCTGACTGCAGATGGAGAATCGCATGACTTGGAAGGGCCGGCTGGATTAGAAGCAGGGAGGCCAGGTAGGAGCTTAGAGCAGCGTTTCAGGTGCATGTAAATGTCTTGGCTGTGAACAGTCACAGAGGAGTTGGCAAGGGATGGCTGCATTCAGAATTGATGTTGAAGGGAGCACAATGTGGATTCCCTGGTGAGTTGGAGGTGAAGTGGCCGGGCAAGAGATAACTCAGTTATAAACTGTGGGTCTTTCATCTAAGCAATTGTGTAAACAGTGGTGTCATTTACTGAAATAGATAAGACACAGGAGAGGAAGGCTTGGGAGGGGACCAGCAGTTTAAAATTTGGAACCTGTTGTGTTGGGGTGCTTATTAAATATTCAAGTAGTGATGTCTACTAGACTGCTGGATGGACAAGGCTAGAACTCAGAGAAATTGGGACTGGATATGGAAATCTAGAAGTCATCAGGGTGCGGATGACTTTCAAACTATGGAACAGTAATAGATCCCTTAGGGAGGGTGTGGCCAAAAACAGTCCCACGTAATAGGTCCTGGGTCCCAAGTGTTTAGAGATCGGATAGAGGAGGAATCCACAGGACGATGGGAAGGCCCCTGAGTTAGGGGAACTCACAGCTGTGCTAGGGAAGAACATGCATTTTCTGTTTATCTGTGACCATTTCTTTAGAATAGATTCCCAGCAGTGGAATTACCAGGCCAAAGGGCATCTGAACACATTTAAAACTCTTGCAAAATGTTGTCACATCCTTTTCCAAAAATGTCACATCAATTTATATTTCCATTATCAGTGCACGGTCTTGCCCATGGCAGAGAACCCTTACATGGTTGCCAATTTAATAGGCAAAAACATGACATCCTGATTTTAACTTGTAATTCTTTGCCTTTCTAGTGAGCTTGAGCCTTTATTTTCCATGCTTATTGCTCGTTTCTGTTGCTTGTATAATTGTCTCAGTGTCCTTGTCTATTATGGTTATATAGTGTTTTTGTAATTGTGAGAGGATTTTTTTAATGTGTTAATAACTAATCCTTTCTTGTATTTCTTACAAATGGTTTTTGGTTTGTCATTTCCCTTGGAATTTTACTACAGTGTTTTCCGATACGAGGTTTTACATTTAAACTTAATTACATTTATCCATCTTGTTCCTAATGATTTCTTCCTTTGCCATTATTGTTAAGAAAAGCCTCCCCACCACTGTATTTTGGGAAGTGCTGGTGAGTCCATTTTTCATGCTATTTTTGCCAAATTTGGTTAATAGAATTTCTTCATAAAGTAAATGGATTTGCCTTTCATTTTCTTCTAGATTCTGCTGTAAATTTTATAGTATGCAATTTATCTATTCCATGAAGTCCAGACAGCATGCACTAATAATAAAGTCTCATCACCTCCAAATACTTTCCAAGGCAGTGTACTGACAACACTTTCCTGTCTCTTCCATGGCTATGGCTTCGTTCTAGGGTGTTACTTCCTCTTGAGCTATTTTTCCTAATTTATTATTTTCACTAAGTGTTACATTTTTACATGTTGATGGAATTTATTAGCATATAACTGTGCATAATATTATCTCATAATTATAATTACTTTTATCAGCATATGTTATGTCTCTTTCCTTAGTTCCAATTTTCTTTATTTCTATTTTTTCTTAATTAGATTTGTTAAAGTTTTGTACTTTATTGGGTTCTTCAAAGGGTCAACTCTCCAACTTACTAAATCATGTTAATGTTTTTCTTTCCAAATGTGTTCTGATCTAATCTCTGTCGTTTCTCATGATTTCCACTGACTGGTCTTATCTAACTTCCTCCACTTCTCGAACTGCCCTTTCTGTTCCTCTCAGACGTGACAAACAGCTTGCTACAGCTCTTCCTCCCGGTTTTCCCGGGACAGGACTCTATTGCTTCCAACACTTAACGCTGCAGAGGAGTCTGAAGTCAGAAAGATTTCTATTTCTTTTACAATTCTTATTTTCTTCTTATTTCTTTTCCTGTGTAGATGTCTGTGGGCATTTTCATTTTCTCTGAGATTCCGAAACATCGACTAGGTCTAGAATGCCACCTGTAGCGGTGGCCACCGTCCTCTCTGCGGGCACTGAGCTGACCGCAGCCTCTTTTCTTCCAGGGAAGATGTGTCCAAAGTTCCCAGTAGCTCTCCGGGAGAACTGGCCCAGGAAGGGGCGCATATTTGCCCTCCCTGGTGGAAGTGGTGGCCTTTCCTCATTTATTTTAGTTGGGGCTCCAGAGGCAATCAGTGGATTTGAGTCTTTCTTGGGCACAGCAAAGTTTTTTATTTTGTGGATTTCAACACTGCTTCTACATCTGCCTTTTAATTTTAACCTTCCAAGTTACTTTTAAATGGGGGTTTGGACTCCTAGGTTAGTGATTTATGACTATTATCCTTTCCCTTTGTTTCCCTGTTTTTGTTTCATTACCTCAAGGAAATCTAGCATTAAAATAGCACCATTTAGATGGGGCCAGAACAGATTCCTGGACTCACTCAACCATTGTAGCCAGAAGCCCTGGCCACAGTGACTGTGACACCGGGCCCAGTCTGTGCCCTGATGTCTGCTCACTGGTGACAGGTTTTCCTAGAAGCCAGGGGATACCTAAGAATGTCAGGTAGGGCGGCGATGTTTCTTTGAACAACGTAGCGCATGCCAGGGCCCACTTCTCTGCAGAGTGTGTTCCGGGTGCTATTCCTGTCTCTTTCTCCATTTTAAAAATACTGTTATATTTCAGATGCATGCTTGCTCCATGGGAACATTGCACATTGGGGACCGGACTTCTAGTGTGCCCATTTCTCTCATTTTTAGCTTATGTCTGGTGATCTGGGGGTGCCTGTCTCTTCCCCTCCCCTTGTGATGCACTCTGAGGGTGGCCGTATTTGACCTTTGGAGAGAGTAGATGAGGAAGGTGGACAGGCCGGTGGGACGGTCCACCTATGGCCTGTCTTCTTTTCTATAATGTTAGCTTCATGCAAGCAGGAAGCTTGCCTTTTTTAATCCACTTTCTCCCCAGGCCTTAGAACACAGTGGTGTTTAGTAGTGAGTTGGCCAATTGAACGTACACAGGAACAAAGGCGGTTCCCAAGCTCTTCTCAGAGTTGAGGCTTCAGCCCGGCTGCGCCTCTCCTCTCCTCTCTCTGCCATGCCCCCTGTCCACTCCACGCTGTCTTTGGACTTTAGCGTCTCCTCCCTCCCCTCCGGGGGAGCTTCCTGTTCTGAGATCTTCCTGGTAGCAAGCAGAGTGTGTACCTGGCAGTGGCATGAGTGGAGCTGGCCTTCAGCCAGTTCCCAAGTAAAGAACCTGTCCCTGGATCCCCAGTGGCTTGTCAGGAGACAGAACACTCTGGGCTTTTGAAGTCTGGGGCCTGGGAGCCAGGGGTGCCTTCAGTCCTCAGGAGGGTTCCTGGAGCCCTCATGCAATCCTGACTGCGCCCCTATCCTGAACCTCCTGAGGGCAGCATCTCTGTTTATTTTCATGACGTATGACACCCCAGTGAGTTGCAAATATGTGCTTTTCACATTGGATGGAATTCTTATGATTTTGGCGAATTGTGCGTTCACAGGAAGTACAATTAAAATCAACCTCCTGTGTGTCCTCCGTCACCCAGGCATATGAGAGTAGGGGGCAGAAGTTCAGTGTGTCTCCATCTCAGGTAAAGCACCCTGGAGCCTGGCTCTTCATGCTCAGATCTCAGTGCTGCCACTTGTTAGTTGGGTAATCTTGGATAAAGATGAAATCTCTATGCACCTTCATTTTTCCGTAAGCCACACCGGGATAAAAATAGCACCTGCTTCATAGGGTTATTGGGAGAAGTAAGTGAATTAGTTTATGTGAAGCGCTGAGAACAGTGCGAGGCATGGAGTACTTGCAACACAACGATTAATGTGGTTCTGACTGTCCTTTCTAGAGAGATGTGGGCCTGCACCTTAGAACTTGCAGACCTGGACTGCCACTGTCAACTAAAGCCACACATACACACACACACGCAGAAACCACACATGCACACACACACATGCTTGCGCAGACACACACATGCACAGACACACAAACCCCTACACACCACGGGCGATTTTCTTCCTCACTTCTTTTTATGGGAGGTAAGAGTGAACACTTGCTCGTACCTTACAGGTGGGGTTGAGGGCCCAGGTGGGGCAGGCTTGTGGCTTGAAGCATGAGGCCCCAGATGGCTATGCATAGTGGGCGTTCCCCATGATGGGCGTTCCTGCTGCAGAGCCTGGAGTAAATGCCCTGCGTGCCCCAGAGCTGTTAGGGTATCCTAGCAGCTAGCGCTACTCCTTGTGCAGAATGAACAGACTGAGCAGCTGCAGAGAATACCTCCTCCTCCCGGCCTCGGGCCTTTCCCAGCATGTGCAGGTTTGCTTGGGGTCTGCCTCCAATGCCTTGAGGGTCACTGTTTGGTTTTGGCGGTGATGCCTGCTCTCACAAGCCCACTTGGGCCTAACTTTGGAAACAATCCTCTGACTGTACTCAGCTTTCAGTGCTTTCTCAAACATGACTTCACCTAGGCTTGGTCTAATACCAGCTTCACCACTTCCTAACCCTGATCCTCTGCAGGTCCTGGTAGCTTTGTTTATAGAGCAGTTCTTTGGATTGAACCAGAAAATATATACAAATAATTTCACGCCGTGTCTGGCATCTGGTGTATGCTGAATATAAGTTGGTTGCTTCTGGAGATCCTCAGTCCAACCCCAGGAAGTCTAGAAATGATTCTCCCTCATTGAAAGGTGTCACAGAGACTCCTCAGAGTAGAGAGGGCTGGAATCTAGGCCCCCAGTTCACTGTTCCCTCCTTTCACAGAGTTCCCTTGCTGTTCAGGAACGTAATGTCCATATGAACATCATTGCCAGAATTGTCTCAGGCCATTGATATATCTTCACTTTCTGTTTTGAGTCCTTTGGAGGCCATCGGGGAGCTGCTGTTCCCCTTCAGCACGGCTACCTGCTCTGGGAGGTCTTGGCTGCCGCAGGGTGGGCCAGTTTGCACTGCTCTGTGGGTGCACAGTCCCTGAAACGCCCTTTCTGTGTGGATGTAAATGATGCATAAAGATCTAAAATCCCAAATCTTAAGCTTTCTCCAGGATTTCTGCTGCAATCCCAGAAGAGCAGCTCTGGAGTCCCTCTGAATTAAATACACAATTTATTTTCAGATCTCTTTTATCGTGAGGGCTCACATGTAGCTTAATGCATACCTCTGTGTTTGAGGCTGCAGTACGGTACAAGACCCACTGCTGGCAGAACCCATTCCTTCCTGTGAGGTCACCCACATGTTATTTAAGTGCAATATTTTGGATCACACGAAATAAAAAACCTGTACTGTTGTGCTCCCATTAAGCACCCATTACATAATCTCTGAGTCACCTGGAAATGGTTTTTCAAAATAGCTTGCATGTTTACTGTTTGTGAAGCACCTGTGCTAAGAGCTTTGCATGTCTTCTTCCATGTAACACAGCAACCTAAGGAGGCAGGAACTACTGTTATTCCTGTTTAATGCATGGAAAGCTATTGTCCACAGAGTGGGAAAGCGACACCAGCAAGATCACATAGTTGGCACCCACGGGTTTAAGCCAGGGCTCAACTCCACCAGACATAATGACTTTGCTCTCAACTGCCACATTTTATTGCCTTTCTTGATGGTTACTTTGGGTCTTAGTTTGCATTTATCTGATGACTAATTTTGAATTTTTTATATATTTACCCTCTTCTGTTACCTACAATTTAAAAATCTTGCTCCTTTTTGATTTTTCTTAGGATATACTAAATAACCCTCCCTTATTGGAGGGTTGCAAATACCTTCTCTAGTTCATAGCTTGCTTTTCAGTTTATTCATGGTATCATTTGATAAACAGAAGCTCTTAATTACGAGGTCATAATCGTGATCAATTTTTGAGTGGTTAGCAGTTTTTATGTCTTATTTAAAACATCCTTCCCTATTCCAAACTCATAAATATATGCTCCTAAACATTTTAGGCTTTGGGTTTTTACAATGAACTTTTTATTCCATCAAGAATTGGTGTGTATGTATGGCACGAGGTAGCAATCTGACATTATAATTTTTTATATCGGTAATCAACTCTCTCAGTGCCATTTATTGGCTTTCACTTGTCTTAGTTGAGTTCCTCAAAAAGCAGAGCCCCAGAAAATGTCTTGGGTGCAGGTTGCTTATTTGAAGGTGACTGCAGGAAATGAGAGTGAGGGTATAAGGACAGTGAGACAGGGACGGCACATGAATAAAGTTGCTGCCATGGACGGCAGGAGTTCAAGTCCACCAGGACCCACCAAGACATGGACAGGATGTCTTCCAGAATTCTCCACCTGAAAGATGGAAAGCAGGACTGCATATCCACCATCTGCTACTGCCTATCCCCAGCGATGATAAGCCCATACCTCTGGGCTGTCTTAATGCGGACCTAGAGGTCTCTCGTGAAATCAGACAGGGCCCCGTAGCAGAAAGTGGAATGACCCCGAGGTGGGACAGCATCAGAGCCAGGTGCAGGAGCTGTCATGGACCTCTGATGAGAGGGAACCTGGGAGGCAACGTGGGCCAGGGCGCCAGGCGTTTGGCTGTGCTCTCCCAGGACCATTGTCTTCATCTTACAGAGGATATCCAAGTGGTGCCGCCAGAGCCTGGCCCAGAAGTTTTTCTGTCTTGCTCTGGGCCTCGGGAGGTGACATGGAGGGATGACCCAGTTTGCTTCCTTGCCTCTGCTCCCTCAGCTCCTGGAGGGCCCTTGGGAGGAGGGCAGAAGGAGACAGGGCCTTCATTCCTCCTGTGTCCTCCCTGCAGGGCCACCTTGGGCTGGCTGAGTCCCTGCTCTCAAGGCAGCTTCCTCCTTCTGAGCACCTGGGATCACGTCCCTCTGCTGTCACTGTTCCACCGAAATCTTTGCAAATTGTCAGGTTATTGAATC